ATAAAAAGGTAAAAAAGAAACAAGACAGAGAAAACATAAGAAATTCAATAAGGTTAAACTGTTTATATTTCTATACAGCAAATAATATTTGTAACTCAACTTTATTAGTATAAGAGCAATTGGAAGGAGTATATGTTGACAGAGGGTGTGCATATAAGGTGACTGTGATGGGATGATACCCCCCAAAAAGAAATTAAAGGGGTGAGAAAGAAAATTGCACTGGAAGAAGAAGGAGGGCAGAGATTGAACGGGGTAAATTATCTCATATAAAAGAGGCATGAAAAAGCTATTATAATGGAGGGGAAGATGGGGGTGGGAAGTTGGCAAGCAAAGTTTAAACCTTAATCTCATCAAAATTGGCTCAAAGAAGAAATAACATACACACTCAGGTGGATATATAAATCTATCTTACCCTATCAGGAAGGAAAAAGGGATAAGGATAAAAGAAGGAGGAGGGGGGTGATAAAAGAGAGGGTATATTGGGGAAAGTGGTGATCAGAAGTAAAACACTTGTGAGGAGGGAAAGGGTAGGGGATAAGAGAGAGAGGGGAATAAACAAGTGAAAAATAGCATGGAGGGAAGTACACAGTTATCATAACTATAAATGTGAATGGGATAAACTCATCCATAAAATGGACTTGGAAAGAGGGAATGAATTAAAAACCAGAATCTTAAAATATGTCGTTTACAAGAAATACATTTGAAGCAGAGAAATACACATAGGGTAAAGGTAAGGGGCTAGAGCAGAATGTGCTATACTTCATCTGAAGCAAAGAAAGCAGGGATAGCCATCATGATCTCAGACAAAAGGAAAGCAAAAATGGATCTAATTCAAAGAGATAAAGAAGGAAACTATATCTTCCTGAAAGGTGCCAGAGACAACCAGTAAAATAAACCATTGGTTAATTTGATTGAAAAAAGGAAAGAAGAAAACCAAATTACTAGTATCAAAAATGAAAGGAGTAAATTCACCACCATTGAAGAGGAGATTAAGGCATTGTTGGGAGCTATTTTGACCAATTATACATCAATAAATTTGACACTCTAAATGAAATAGATAAATATCTACAAAAAATAAATTATCCAGATTAAGAGAAGAAATAAAATACTTAAATAACCCAATCTTAGAAAAAGAAATTGAAGAAACCATCAATGAACTTCCTAAGAAAAAATCCCCAGGACCAGATGGATTCACAATCGAACTCTACCAAACATTTAAAGAACAATTAATCTCCATACTATATAAACTATTTGGAAAAGTAGGTGAAGGAGTACTACCAAATTCCTTTTATGACACAAATATGGTGCTGATATCCAAACCAGAAAGAGCCAAAACAGGGAAAGAAAATTATAGACCAATTTCCCTAATGAATATTGATGTAAAGTTTTTAAATAAAATACTACCAATGAGATTACAGCAATTTATCACAAGGATCATACATTATGACCATGTGGGATTTATAACATGAATGCAGGGCTGATTCAGTATTAGGAAAACTATGAACATAATTGAACACATCAATAATAAAACCAACAGAAATAATATGATTATCTCAATAGATGCGGAAAAGGTCTTTGGCAAAATACAACACTCATTCCTATTAAAAACAGGAGAGAGTATAGGAATAAATGGAGTTTACCTTAAAAAGACAAATGCTATTTACCTAAAACCATCAGCAAACATTATCTGTAATGGGGATAAGCTAGAAGTCTTCCCAATACAATCAGGGGTAAAACAAAGATGCCCATTATCATTTCTATTATTTAATATTTACTAGAAATGTTAGCTTTAGCAATAAGAGAAGAAAAATAAATTGAAGGAATTAAAATAGGCAATGAGGAAACAAAACTATCACTCTTTGCAGATGATACTATGTTATACTTAGAAAATCCTAGGGAATCAACTGAAAAAAAACAGTTGAAATTATTAACAACTTTAGCAAAGTTGCAGGATAAAAAATAACTCACATGAAACATCAGCATTTCTACATATTACCAACAAAGTCCAGCAACAAGAGATAGAAAGAGAAATTCCCTTTAAACTAACCATAGACAATATAAAATACTTGATAATATACCTGCCAAGATAAACCCAGGAACTATATGAACACAACTATAAAATACTTTTTCACACAATAAAGTCACATCTAAACAATTGGAAAACTATTAATTTCTCATAAGTAGGCTGAGCCAATATAATAAAAATGACATTTCTACCTAAATTAATCTATTTATTCAGTGCCATACCAATCGAACTATCAAAGATTATTTTATAGATCTAGAAAAAATAATAACAAAATTCAAGAAGAAACAAAGCTCAAGGATATCAAGGCAATCAATAAAATAAATGTGAAAGAAGATGGTCTTGCTATACCAGATCTAAAATTATATTATAGAGCAATAATTATCAAAACAATCTTCTACTGGGTAGGAAAGAGTGATGGATCAGTGAAATAGATTATGAAAAATTACATTATAGTAAATGACCATAGTAATCTAGTTTATGATAAACCCAGAGATCCAAGCTTTTGGAACAAAAACTCATTCGTTAACAAAAACTGCTAGAAAACAGGAAAACAGTATGGCAGAAACTAGGTATAGACCAACGTCTCATAATGTATACCAAGATAAGGCCAAAATGGGTACATGATTTACACATAAAGGGTGATACCATAAGCAAATCAAAAGAACATGGAATAGTTTGTCTGTCAGATTTATGGGTAAGGAAAGAACTTATGAGTGAAGAAGATATAGAAAGCAATACAAAATGTAAAATAGATAATTTTTATTATATAAAATTAACAAGTTTTTGCACAAACAAAACCAGTGCAACCAAATTTACAAGGAAAACAGAAAACTGGGTAAAATTTTGCTACAAGTATCCCCGATAAAGGCCTCTTTTCTCAAATATTTATAGAACTGAGTCAAATTTATAAAAATACAAACCATTCCCTAATTGATAAATGATCAAAGGATGAACAGGCAGCTTTCAGATGAAGAAATCAAAGCTATCTATAATCATATAAAAATGCTCTAAATCACTATTGATCACTCTGAGGTACCACCTCACACCTATCAGAGTGGCTAATATGATAAAAAAGGAAAATGTTGGATGTTAGAGTGGCTCTGGGAAAACTGGGATACTAACATACTGTTGGTGGAGTTGTGAACTAATCCAACCATTCTGGAGATTCTATGTATTTATTTTTTCAATCAATAGATACTGATTGTATAATTGCTAACGTGTGGGGAAACTTGCCAATTTTTTTTCATACCAGAAAAAATATGGTGCTGGATGAGTACTCTCCAAAATGGGGGCTGTGGAATTAGGGCTTACCTCTCACCAGTAGCCTCCCACGTAGCTGCTTCCCTCCCCACTCAGAAGCCTTAGACTCATCCAAGCCCAGGCACTCACAACTATGCTGGAAAAATCTGGCTTTCTCTGCATCTTTTCTATGTGTTCCCTTACTCTCCCTTTATACATGTACCACTCCAATTCAGACCCTTACTACTTTTTACCTTTTATCACTTCTAACTTTGACTAGTGAAATAATGTTGGGGCACCTAGGTGGCTCCGTGGATAAAGTGCCATGAAGTCAGGAAGACTCATCTTCACAAGTTCAAATCCGGCCTCAGACACTAGCTGTGTGACCCTAGGCAAGTCATTTAACCCTGTCTGCCTCAGTTCCTCATCTGTAAAATAAGCTGGGGAAGGAAATAGCAAACCATTCCAGCATCTCTGCCAAGAAAACCCCAAATGGGGTCACGAAGAGTCAGACATGACTGAACAACATACAAAATTCATAAATACTCCCCAATCCTATCCATCTTTCATATCATTGCCAAAGTAATTTTTTTGTGTCATATCACTCCCTACTCCATAAATTCCGGTGGTTCTCTATTAGTACTAGGGCCAAATATCATTTCATCTTTACCTCATCCTACATTTCTGTATGCCTATGTTTCATAATGCATAATCATTAGCACAGTAGTACAAATATAATTTAAAGATAGGTAAATGTACATATATTTGGGGTTTGTGTTCAACTATCTTTTGCTGATTAGCAAGGGTGTGCTGGAGCCAGTTCTGACTCTGAAGAGCTGATTATTAAATTTTCAAGGTGAGCATTCGCACTTTGAATATAGGTTAAAACTATAAATCAGGGCTTGATTTAGTATTGATTTATAAACTTAAAGTGATGAAGAAAATGTTAAGGCCAAACAAACTTAAAAGTATGTCACATGTACATTTTTTTCTTTTTCCCCTGGATAGCTGATTGTTAAACATTTACCAGCAGGGGTATGCAATCAAAAAAAAATTTCAGATCACTATTCTGTATAATTACATAGTTAGGATTATGGGCTGATTCTAACAGTATATAACATCTCTTAACTTCATATGGAAATCTTGAGGATTTGTCAACCCACCCATCATTTCATCAAGCTTTCTATTTTTTCAAAGTGATTTCACACATGCTGTTTCATAGGGCTCACAATAACTCTTGAAAAGAATGTCTAGCAAGGGCTCTCGACCTGTGATCCATGGATAGATTTCAGGAGGTCTGTGAATTTGGATGGGATAAAAACTTACAACTTTATTCTTACCAACCTCTAACTGAAATTTAACATTTCCTTCAAATATGAATGGAGACAAAACATTTTTCTTAGGAAAAGTCTACAGACTTCCTCAGACTGCTAAAGGAACCCTGACATGAGCAAGGTCCAGGATTTTTGCCCCAGATAAAACATTTTGAGTGCTCTCAACCAGAGTGACAAAAACAAAAGGACAGTCCAAAGCAAGAACATGATGCAAACACAGAAATGCACAAGATCATTAGGAAAACACAAATATAAATTTTTTGCTGTTCCTTTTCAAACAGTCTTTTGGAAATGCAATTAAAAGAAGGCATGGGGCTAACTTTTTTTTTTTAAATACACTTTAATATACTAACCGGGAAGAAAAAAAATGTATTTACATTTCCTTTTATGGCTTTTCTTACCTGCCAGAGATGACATGTTGATAATGACTCCTCCATCACCTCCATTTTGTTTACTCATGTAGTCTAGTCCAAGATATGTTCCACTAATCACAGAAACCTGATAGAGAGAAAAAAAGGAGAAATCAATGTGCAGGAGGACTTTGCCAGGTGTTGTTGTTTAGGCAGGGCCAATGAAGTAGGTAAAGCACCTTCATATTTCAAGATGTCTTTGAATATTCATTGAAGCAAAAGAAAATCAGTCATACTTTAAATGTGCCAAATAATTACAGCACTGACCATGTTACTGTAAAACTTAAGATCATAGATTTAGGGCTGAAAAGGTCCTCTGATGTCATTTACATGTTATCAATTTATTAAAATGAATATTATTTGTAAAATATTTCACAAGCCCTAAAACACCATATAAATGCTAGCTATTAATTATTATCATCATCCAATTCAAAGTTTATTTTGCAGAAGGGGAAACTGAGACAAAGAAGATAAGTGACTTGGTCCAGGTTACATGGGGGCAGACCTGAGATTTGAACTCAGGACCTCTGATTCTAAATTGCTGTATAAAATATCAACTAAAATACTTGTTTTCCCTGGAAATACTATTACATTTTTCTCACCTTGTCAGGGCGTAGACCAGTTATTGCAATGGACTTTAAGTCCTGCTTAGTTTGAGAATCACCCAGAAAGATCAAAGAAAAAAAGATCAAGAAAAAAAGACCTCATATGTTTCTTTTCTAAATTTTGTTGTTGCCTCTTGACATTCTGTGCTCTTGTTCCAATATTCCTGTCTTCTGACTACTTCTTGGGTTCCATTATTCTTGCATTCCTTATCTATGAACCAGAAACCATCCATTCATTTATTTGCTCATCTCCAGGTTACTGTACTCATTTTGACCTATGGCTAGAATTTTAAGATTTCACCAAAACCATAAACAATTTGTGAAATAAAATTTATGCCTGAAATGTAATTATTTTCCCCTTCTGTCTTGGACTTCTTCACACTTGTGACACAGTTTTGGGAGACAAAAACTTGTTTGAGATTTCATAATTCCTACTTACATTTATCTGACTTTCAAGAACTAGATTAAGAGGAAAATTATCTTGAATGAATCTGAAGAGGTTGAATATTTGCTTTCCTATCTGACATTGCCCTTGTTTTAAAATCTTTTGGGGTTTCCCAAACAAGTACTCAGAGAGGCTTATCTTACACAGTAGTAATTTTGTAACACAAAATTAAATTACTATCCTATTCATTTGAGCAATAAGTCAATTTGACACTAAGCTGACTGTAGGGTAAATGAGCAAACCTAGAGGGCCCTTCCCTCTTCCTACTACTCCAAGACAAAACACAGAACTTAATTGTTTATATAAGAGAAAGAAAAAATAATATGGAAGGATAGAATTACCAAAGTCTGTTATATTCTGCCAGTTTCTGCCCAAGCCTCATGCATGCCTGAACAACATCTAGGTATCGTATGTATTAGCACTTTGCTTCTTACCTATAACTATTCTCACGGATTTACAACTTGGTTGACAGACAAATTCCATATTTTCAATACACATGGGCACACACACACATATATTCAAGATATTCCAGAGATGGGACTTGAACCCAGGTCTTTCTGGATTCAAAACCAAGTTTCTCTATCCACTATTTCATGCTGCCTTTGCCCCTAGACAATTATTTTGGTGTTCAAACAACAAAAGTTCCAAGTCCCACTCTTTGTGACCCCATTTGGAATTTTCTTGGCAAAGATAACTGCAGTGGTTTGCCATTTCCTTCTCCACCTCATTCTGCAGATAAGGAAACTGAGGCAAACAGGGTTAAGTAACTTGCCCAGAGTTACATAGCCAATGTCTAAGGCCAAATTTGAACTCAGATTTTCCTCACTCTAGGCCTGCTGCTCTATCCAGTGTGCCACCTAGCTGCCCAAACACTTCTTTGCAAAACTTATTTCAAAGTGCTTTCAAAATGAATCATTTAACTAACTGGAACTCTCTCTAGAAAACTGAATAGAATTCTGGTCTTGGAGTCAGACAAGCCTGGGTTCAAATCCTATCTCTGACACTATGTGACTATGATTCAATCACAACCTTTTCAAGTTTCAGTTTCTTCATCATCTAGCCCTGTTATTTTGGTGTCATGGAGATTGCTTTACACCTAAATAAGTTTTAGAAGCCTTACATGCAAAGCATTAAAATTTGGTTTAAGATATTTCCTAATGAGCCATTTTTTTCTCTTTAAGTAAAACTTCCTATTATAACCCCTCTGTTTCTTTCATTGTTCTGTCCATGGTGAGCATTTCTCTCATAGATGCCATAAGGTAAATGGATATATTTCATAAAACGATCCTAAAATGATATGATTCCTAACATTTCAGTCTTAGAAGAAACTTCAGATGCTATTCTCTGCAACATATTGCCTGAAGTAGGTATCTCCCTCCAGCATCCTAGTATGTGGTCTCTCAACTTCTGCTTACAGATGTCTAGCCCAGAGCCCCATGTGTTGTCTTGAGACTATTCATTCTATTTGTGTACAGCTTTAAAGGTTAAGAAGTTTTTCTTAGTGTTTATGAAAATCCTCCTGGGGGTGGGGTGAGTGTTTAAGTCCAGAATTAAAAAAAAAATTGTAAAGAACTTTCTGCTCCTATAGTGAGCTAAAATCTGTCTCCTTCTAACGTCCACCCCTAACTATTCAAATTAAATTGTTTTCTTTTTAACTTAAAGATTTTTGCCTCTTGGAAAGAATGTGCTGGTAAATGTTTAATAGAAGGCTGGGGCTGGGGATTATGCATGACACTTTTAAGTTTCATGTGCATTAGTAACATTTTCTCCAACCATTTCCTGAGTCTAGAAAATCAACCAAATAATAAATGGAGCCTTGATTTGTCGAGTTTGCCAATTTCCAAGCGATGTAAAAGTTCACACCAAAAATTACACTATTGCTCTCCTGAGTTGGTACAAGCAGTCTCTAACATACTCCTGCTTTCCCATCCACAGTAGTGTTTACCCACTACTATAATTTCCTCTTTGTCATTTCCCTTATCTCCTCCTTCATCTTCCCTTTGGGGTTTTCATTTAGAATAAGCATGATAAATAGGTATTTTTGTTTATATTGCTCAAACTGCATTACCTTATTTCTCCATTTTCTTGCCTTTTCTTATCTTCAGATTTGTATTACCCTTTGCTTCCTTTCCCTCAAGTTGTCCATACTTAACTTCTCATTATAGTTTATAGCATCCCTCTACATTGTATACTTGCTGCCTATAAGTTAGTGGGTGACCTTGACCTCACATAGGCTATGGATACTTCCTTGCATTGTGTACATAGTAAATGCTATTGTATCTTCATGGCAGGTATCTAGCCTATTTTGGACAATTCAGGAGAGCTTACGCAGCTTCCCTGTAGCATAGTGCAATGGAGAAAACAAAAAGAAAAGAAAATGGAGTGGAATCAAAGAGATTTGGGTTTCAGTACTGGTTTGTCCACTCACCAGCTAAAGTCACCAGACGTGATTGTTTTCTCATCTGTGTAATGGGGACAATGCTTAGCAAATCCACCTACCTCACTGGGTTGTGAGAAAGGTGCTCAGTGGCATTGGAAAGGGCATTATCAATGAGCTATTTATTGATTCATTTCCTTTGCTGGGTAGCACACTTGGGGTAAGGTACCTGTGGTAAGAGTAAAGGGACAAAGAGGCATGCAGTTTCATAGGGTAATATATTTAGAGCTAGAAGGAACCACAAAGGTCATTGAGTCCAACTTCTTCATTTTAGAGATGAGGAAACTGAAGCCAAGTGGCCTTTTTTTTTTAAAGATTGGGTTATGATGGCACATGCCCATAGTCCCTGCTGCTGGAAGGCTAGGGGATCACTTGAGCTTTGGAGTTCTAAGCTGAAATAGGGCTAAAATTGATCAGGTGTCGTCAGGCACAGGTATGGTAAGCTCCTAGAAGGAGGGGACCACCATGCTGCCAAAGAGGAGAGAACCAGCTAAGTATAGAAATGGAATGTTGTTCAGCAGTGTGTTGGGCCCTTGAGTGGCCCCTGCCTGACCTTCCAGCCTGGTCTGGATAAATAGAAAGACTGGCCCAGATCTTAGTAAAACTTTCTATTATTACTCCTCTATTCTCTCATTGTTCTTCCCATGGAGAACAATTATCCCTTGCACGCAATAAGGTAAATGAGTATTCTAGGTATATTTCATAATTATGGCTCAGGTCACCCCATCTTGCCCAGGCTGGAAGTACAGGGGGCACTCATGGGCTTAATGCACTGCTGATGGATTACCACCAGAAAGTTGATCTGGCCTGCTCCATTACATACTTAGGCTGGTTCTCCATTCCTTTGGTTTCTCTGACTAGGTATATGTGAGTATCTCAGGCTGGCTCTATTGCTTACCTATAGTTGTATCTCTTTCCTCATAAGTCCTTAATATCAACAATTTCATGTTTTTACTTTGAATTTAGTGGGGCAGATAGGAAAGAGTACCTGTTGACTCTTTGCTCTAATTTTCATACGGGAATAGAACTGACTTTTGCTTTGATTTATTAACATGTTGACGGGTTGAAACAGAATATTGGAGTGGGCATCAAAAAGGAGAATTCAAGACTCAGGTCTGCCACCCTTGGTTAAATGATCCCTGATCCTTAGTTTTCTTATATGTAAAATTATTGGGCTGAATTTGTTGTTGTTGTTGTCTTGTTTGACTCTTCATGACCCCATTAGAGGTTTTCTTGGCAAAGATATTGGAGTGGTTTGCCATTTCCTTTTCCATCTCATTTTACAGATGAGGAAACTGAGGCAAACAGGGTCAAGTGACTTGCCCAAGGTCACATAGCTCAGATTTGAACTCAGGAAGATAAGTCTTCCTGACTCTAGGCCCAACACCACCTAGCTACCCTATCGGGCTGGATTAGATACCCTAAAAGTTCCTTTATATCTTTTTGGGGGGAATGAAAAAATAAATATTTTCTTGTGATCATTTCAGACATAAGGTAGCAGAGTAGATGAAGAGACAAATTCAAACCCTTAGAAGTTATTTAACCTCTTAGTGTTCTAAACTAGAAGTGTCTAACTCAAAAAGATTAAAATGTAATTGGAA